ATCTCGAACCAGTCATTAGCCAGATCAAGGACTTGGATTCTCGCATCGAGCCAGCGGTGTACGATTTCCACACGGAGCAGCCCGTCAAGGAGGCACGAGCCTACTACATGCATTCTGTTCTCCACGACTGGCCTGATGAGGTCTGCTTGAGCATCTTGGCCAACATCAAGAAAGCCATGAAGCCAGGATATTCTCGGTTGTTGATCAACGAAAATGTCATTCCCGACACCAAGGCCCACTGGGAGTCTACCGGTCTGGATGTTTTGATGTCGCTTCTTCTTTCTTCCAAGGAGAGAACCAGGGTTGAGTGGTCGAAGCTTTTGGAGGAGCAAGCCGGTTTCAAGATTACAGGTATCTACGGAGGATATAGCGGTGTCGAGAGTCTGATCGAGTGTATCGTTCCCGAATGAAATCGGGTTTTTCTTTCTAGATGATTTTTTGGCACACCGCCCCAAGAATAAACTTAAAATTTTAGTTACTTTACGGAGTAATCCAAACACGCTAAACGTTAGCCCCCGTTGTCAAGAAAACTTTGTCTCCAGCTGCCAAAACCCCCTAATAAAGATCTCGGTTAGCTCGCAAGTTGCCGGTCGCCGTTAAATTCCACCCGTGCACTCAACTCATGGATGGTTCCATTTTGAATAATCGGTTTCTTGGAAATCCCCCGATGAAATTTCCGACATGGTAATCAAAGAAACGAGTATGATGGACTTGCTGGATGTTTTGATTGCAGTGAAGGTTTCGTTGATCATGCTTTCCAGTGAAGGATCGTCAAATCGGCATAAAATCAATTTGACTTTTTTAGCTTGTTGAAAAATCAAATGATGATGGTAACCACCTGTGACGGACTGGCAGCTAGGTAAGGGGGGGAACATGAGGGTTAGGGTTAAAGAAATCCTCCCCCGTGCCAAGCTCCAAAGCATTGAGCGGGACTTCAATCCCTGTCAATCCGGAACTTTGCACTGTTGCAGCAAACAATCCCAACACACATCATCCATCGCTTCAGTTGACAGCCAAATATCGACCAATAGTAATCAATTGTCTAATCTTCCACCACAATTCAAACCGTACGTGTCAGATCATCAATAATCACATCTAATCAGTTGCCTAACAACGCTGACAAAGGAGTTTACACCCCCGCAGACCAAAATGCATGACATCTTTTTCATTGCCCACGTCCTAGACCAGGATATTCTGAAAGCCCGCGCTATCCTCGCTGGTGTCACAAAGTCCCCAGAGCACCACACGTTTACGCGCATCCAACACTTTGAGCTAATAGACAGATATGTCAAGGGATTGCCCCTCATTAAGGACCTCGCAAGAGAGCGCAATGATCACACGGCTGCCTGGCTTGAGTTGCACGCCGCTTTCCTCAAACAGCAATACACTGTGAACATACGCACCAAAATTCTCAAAGACGAGGTTGAGGCAGCGAGAAATGGTCTCACCCGAACGATCCCTCCGACAAGAGTCCGAATCCTCAAGTGGACCGAAATCCCAGATCCTCCTTCCCCAGCAATTCCTTCGTGGATGTATCAGCGTAGAGCCTTGGACATCTGGGACCCCAAGCAAGAACAGATATTGGCTGATAATGGGTTCCAGTTCGTCCCGTCATTCTTCAATCTCCTTTCGTTTGCTGACATACCTGTTTGTTTCTCTAGACGAACCTCAACCAAGTACGAAGAGGCATACGAATACCGCAAGGGCAGGGTAGTCTATAGTCTGACACTCTTGTGGACTCCCAACGACGACTCCAAAGATATCGATACCGACCGAGTCCCAAATCTTCCAGTCCCCCATGATGGGCTGTCTGGGCAAGACCCTAAGAACACCCTGGGGAAGTATGCGCCGTTCTGGATGTTGTATGTGCGTGCGCTGGTGGATTCCAAGGCCGAGGCGGTGCAGCAAGCACACATTGTTATGGCCAAACTGAAAGACGAGTTGGACGGCGTCTTTGAATTCAAAGAGTATGATCGGAGATCGATGGATACCAGGTGCCATGTCCCTGCATAGAAAATGGACACATGGGACACAGCACTGAAACCCAGTTTTGTTAGTTGAACAGCGCATGGCATGGAGATTTTGTTTAACAATTGTATTTGCAAACTTTCGCATCCGCTAAAACCCCCAAGAAGCAACAGGGACTCCCTGCAGTTTATTACGTTTCTTTCTTGCAGCTGCTGACTAAAATTCTCCTGGCCAATCGGACGGTCACCTTTGGGCCATGCCCATCGTTTGATAAAAAAAAAAAAAAACAAGAAATTGGTGACACTGAGTGGAACCCCCGTCACTTATGAACCTTGATGGTCTGATGCACAGAAGAAAAGAAAGAAAAGTGTCGCAAGTGTTGTGTCGAAAGATGCAACAACTCTTTGACAATTTGAATTATGAGAGAAATTGCATGCAATCTAAAACCAACAAAGTCCGTCAGTTTTTTTTCTTTCATGATCTTAACAATGTCCTCGTGGCCTTTCCAGGTTCTCCTTCCTTCTCGGATCTGTTTGCCGGTCTGACCACCTTGAACGACGCTCGGGATCCGGGTAACGCCGATCTGAAAAAGTCATCAGCGGTGTGGGAATGCCATCACACACCGATCTCGGTTGTGTCGGCTTGCCAAGAAACTGACACCGTGTGTAGTCCGTAACTTCGGTTGCTGGTTTGGACTCCATAATTGCATTTTGTAAGAAAGAAGAAAATTCAAGGAATGCATGCAAAAATGCACTTGTGCAAATTGTAACCAACTGGCGGCGTTGGGAGGGCGATGTCACCTTGAGTTATTGTGCTGGCTTGGGTGCCTGGCATGCATGGTGGGCTTTAATGTCACTGGGGCGGGTGAGCGGGTGAGCGGGTTGGTGGTGTTGGCGTTTTAGATGAGGTACGAAGAGACTCTTATCGTTATTTTCCAAAGAGAGTCTTGGGTTTCTTATCGAGTGTCGCAAAAGACTCAATCGGTCAAAATACCGAGGGTTTATCGAGGCGGTATGTATTCCGAACAATACTCCGTATGTGAATACATGTATGTCAGGAAACTGAAAGTAACACGGATAAACAAGCCCCGAATCAGTTTTAGAGTAGGCATTCTCTCTCTCTCTCAAGAATTTCCTTGATGTTTCCTTTGATTGAAAGCTTGAAAGCAAGAAAATGTTACTCTGAACGTTAACTACGGATATCTTGTTTTATTATTTCTTGAATATCGAGAGAGCGGGATTTTCCAGTAGTAAATTTGTTACTGAAAGAAAACAAGTGGGTATTTAACTATCATGGCCGTCTTTTTCCGTCTTTTTTTGAGAAGCGTGAAGTAGTGAAAATGGCGACTTATTCTAGTGGTTTGATGGAATAAGAAAACTCCGTATAACTCTTCTGAACGTCGGGGAAGAGATCCTAATGTTTTTTTGAAGCTGGTTTTTGAGCATCATGATGCCAGATCCGTTACAATTATCGATGTTTATCCTGCCGTTGCTATCAGTTTTCAGCCTCCACAAACAACTGAAGCCCACCAATTGATTGCATATGTCCTGCCGTCCATCGAGCAACATCACTCAAAAGGGCCGCATCTTACTTGTGGCCGCTTAAATACTAGAAAGTTATCATGACCATTGATAGAAGTTGACGTTCTTCCATGGTTGTGTTTCTGTTGGTTGATAGCGTATCCTGTGACAAGGGCTTGAAGGTAAGGGCTTGGAATAGGGCTTGTATTCAAATTAATGTAATAATCTGTTATGGCCTCAAAGGTCCTTGCCTTCCTACAATCTGAACTGGAAGATCAAGGCCAACTTGTACCCGTAGAAGCCCTTCATGGCTTACACTGTCTCCTGGATCTTTCACTCGACCAGAGGCCTCCTTTGGGCTTGGTCATGATTGCTAAGAATACAGGTCTTCTGACTCAGAGGTCCTACTGCTTCCTTCATGCAGATCCATCCCGTGTCGCCGACCTTCCTGACCAACCATCCTTCAAGATGGAGTGCTTCGGGCACCTGGACGTGCAGGAGTCGGCCGCCCATGGGAGCCCTACTATATTGGTAGGCTCCTGAGGCTTCTTGGCCTGCTTGTTGTCCTGTTTGCTGACCTGGAACACTGTGAGCGATGCAGTCATTGAATGCCGTGTGACATATCCCTTGGCCGTCAAAAGGCCTCAAAATCCTTATCTGTACATAGTATCATTCAGATACTTGTACTCATCAGGAGAATAGGTATCCCATAACTTTAGTCAAGATCCCAAATACGAATAAAGATCGGATATATCTCGAGTGGGCACCGCAGGTTATCACCAGGTCATCAATCTTCATCACCAAATCAATCCTCCGGTCAAGATATCATCAGATACCCCGTCTTCATTTTGAAATAGTCAAAATAAAGTTTTCTGGTTCGGCATCCCCACCAAACAATTCAACTACGCTAAAGAGGCGTTACCGTTGTTTTCCCGCTAATGGTGCCCGCCGATAAAAAGACTCCATCGCGATAAAACGGCTAGATGGTTATAGCGTACTACAATATAATACACTAATTACTGGGTTCAACCTTGCAGTCTCTAAGTTGCATAGCCTTATCAGTTTGTTTGTTTTTAGTTTATCTAAGTGTGATGCTTATTTTGACGTCAAAAGAGCGATTTTTGTCTGCGCGACATTGGAAAATTGGTGCGCAAAGAGTCCAGAGAGGTTAGATTAAACTGCTGCGACGGGTTTGATCGTTTTTTCGATTGCCCGACTTTTGCACATCGGGGAAAGGCATCCTGCGATTTGACTGATGGTTTCCGGAGGCTTATAGACCGAGTTGTGTTACTTTTTCATAAAACGTTTCCCTGCAGATATATATGGTTGCGTTGTTTTGCTTGCAGTTGGAATTCTTTCACTGACTTTAGACAATCATCATCGAAACGGCGATTAGCAAACCACTTTTGGCGGGGTAATTTATTAATAACATACTTTATCCAAGCTGCCGATACTGATTGCTTACCTACTAATATTGCCAAATGCAACAAGGAAAAAAAACGACAAAAAAAACGACCGCCATGGGACTCGAACCCACAACCTCAGTCTTGAGATTTTCCTATCAAGATAGGAGGACCACGCGCTACCATTGCGCCAAGCGGCCTTGTGTAAGTGTACCATTTGAGTTGTATGACCAAGTCATTACTTGACTATTAGTATGCAGTCCGTATTTCGCCGCCTTTTCCCAAGCGGAATATCTTGCCCAGACTTGTTCAAAATAAGCTTCCTTTCACCGAAGATCCTACGTCCATTCCGGGCAAGTTGTCTTGGTTTTACCGTTTTGTAAGTCTTTTTTTTAATCCATGTATTCATCTGTACAGCGTGCAAATACCCATTGTTAAAACTCACTGCTTGCTAACAGACACTTCGCCGGCGTGTACGTTTAGATTGACATAGACTTCTGAAGTATGGATTCTCAAAATAAAATCTAGGTGTTTATCCATACACGACGTTATTTTACTGTTGGTTGACGGCGCATTTTGTTTCAAAGAGGTATATATTGTGTTGTGGTGGGCAATTTGGGTGATTGGTGCTCGTGGAGCTTGTGCTTGAGACCAAAGCAGTATCTGGAGTCAAACGTTCGATCCTGACGTTTTGTGATACCATCTTGTAAGCTCCATCGTAATGAGCTTTAAGGGGGGAATGGAGGTTATCATTAGGTGCAAGCTGTGCAAAGAATTCGGGCTCCTATCGAGCTAGAGAGTGACGTCTCGTTCTGAACAATTGGTCCTCGTCGAAGCAGGACAAGTAGCGCAAAATCCAAGTCCTAATGAATGTAAGAATAGAAAGAGGTCCTGAAACTTGCTGGGCTGTCACTCGTTGAATATTTTTTTTCTTTATTTTGTGGATCTTTCTGTAGACTCTCCTTCGCGTCCAAAGTTTTAGGCTGCCTCAGCAGCAGTGGCCCTTTGTTTACAGTATCTGCAATATGACATTGCTCAGTCTGCTCGGCGGTGATCACTCTTTTGAGAAGAGATGACCGCCCAGGTCTATCAGTATATATTCGAAGCCCTCTTCACTCAGAGACATTTTCCCTCACACAGCTCACTTGATTCACTCGCCATCAAGATTGACACCCAAAACACAATACCTAACAATTTCCATCTGCTGGAAGATTAAATACAAGATGTTACAAGACCTCTGGCCCCTCGCGCATGCTCAGAGAAGTGAAGCGAAGCTCTATGGGGGCCAGCCCCCAAATCCCCGGGCTCGCTGCGCTCGCCTTCGAATATTATATTATACCTACTTCATATTAATCAACTAACCAACCAAGCCTACACCTTCTAGAACCTTCTTCAACTAACTAAGCCTATATATTCCTTCGTTATAGGAGGTTGTGGAAGTCCTGGGAGGATGGAAGTCGTGGGAGGTTTTGGGTAGTTGTGGGTGGTATATGTTTGGGGAGGGGCCGGGCCGAAGATTTCATACACTAAAGAAGTTAATTGACTTAGTACATATATTTCTATGGCCGTATTACTGCAATGGAGTGCAGACATAGTTTTAAAGAACCAATTAGAATCGAGTATAAGAACCAATCAAATTGCAGGATTCGGTTTTTCAAGACCGACCAGGAAAAGCTAGCTTCGACCATTTCATTGAAGCTTCGCTTCAATAAATTCATAGGCCGTACTACAGGTGGAGCTAGTTACCGTAGTAGGTGCCGATCACCATGCAGTCGCTGCTGGCCAACTGAAGCAAACTCCAATCCCACCTCCGAGAATGATACACCCGAAGTCATCCTCTGCGACAATAGACCACGATGTGCAACGCAGGAAACTCAACAGATCATAATACCTGCCCCGTATCCCACGCACCTGCCATACGAGGTGGACAATTACAGATTACCATCAGGTCGAACAATAAAAAGAGAGTGGGAAAAGCACCTCGCAGACTGGACCATTCAGACTGCCAAAGGATCGATTAAGAAGCATTCGAAGAGGGCATTACGCGGTGAGGTGTACTACCGTCTAAAATATTGGTGGCAGCTTCGCCTCAACGACCTCCGCGAAGAGTACGAAAGGATGATTATAAGGTATAAGGATTTGTGGAAGCTGGAACGTAAGGTGTGGAGAAAGGAAGAGGAGAAGGAAGAAGACCATATTTTTGAGCATTTTCTATGGGATATTAAGTACGCGATCATTCTCTTCAAGGATAGCGAAAACGGGGTTCTACTCAAAACACTGGCGGCTGACCAGCCAGACGCGGTCCGGCAGTTATTCTGGGTGCATGATGATCCTCAGCTCGTCCTCCTTGCAAGCAACCAGAACCCGGGTGGAGTTCCAGTCACTTCTAGCCACAGGCACCATCAATGAACGGCAGAATCCTCCTCCCTAGGTATTTTTGGAATAGTATTAAAGGGTGGAAAGAAGGAACTTTTTTCAAATTTTTGGGATGTCATCTCTTTTTTCTCATAAGGCAACATATGCAGGACATCTATTTGCGGAAACTTTTGCACTGGCGTTTACTTCATCTTTGGGATCAAAGCCACGGGCGGGCTAGAGCTAAGAGCTGGGCTCTATTACAGTGTTGCTTCGTTTTTTTGACTATTTTCTAGAATTTTTGGTTTTGTTATCTTGCCCCCCTTTTTAGACTACTACTTAGATAGCCGTTCTCATCATAGAACTCAGCAAATTTTGGAGTCATATTAAATACGAACATTGCTTCATCTAAGTCATCTACGTGCATGTTATAATTTGCAACCTGTTTATGCCAACTTGCAACCTCTGCTGAGTATAGCAACACCATAATTGCCTGGGATTTGAAGTCTGTGCAAAAGACTTTGCATTGCCTCAAAGTCTTTCAAGAAGTCTTAAAGCAGCATGTAGTTGACAAGATGACGTCCCCAGCCGAGAACCAAATGGAAGTTTATTTGACCGGGACGGCTCAGTTAACTGTGTCCCCGGATAGGTCGACTGTATCTTTCAACAGCCTACGGTTAATAGGGCGATATTTGCACTTGATTATAAAAATGCTTTTTTGAAATAGAACATGTCTTTATTTTTAGGGGTTGAGTGGCGGAAAAAAGAAGTGGGATACAATCGACTCATCCGCGGAGACAGTCAACGGAGCCGTACCGTATTTGACAAGGACATACGAAAACGAGACATGCTGGTATAGACTTGGCCAAAACAAACTCTGTGGTCCAAAGTCTCAAACGAAATGCTGCAGCAGTTTCCACTCCAAGACAAAGACAACAGGAACAACCGAATCTCATCTCTTCTGCCTCTTATCGTCAGAAATATCTGTTTGTAACACGTATAATAAAGTCTTTGTCCATGATTCCCAAAAACTCTGTTGACTTGACAGCACCTAGTGACAAGTTAATCTGGGTTCATGTATATAATGAGCGAGTCTCAAGCCTGTTAGACCTCTCTACCATCTACTTCCTCACAGTCAACCACAACTACTTCGGCACAACAAAAAGAAACCTCAACTCTCGATCCATCACCCAGCAATCACCACCGAACCGCCAAAACAAAATATGCAGATAGATGGATTCAACCAATCTTCGTATGCAAAGATTGCAAGAAGGAAGAGTGCATACTTCAGTGGCCAAATTACCCAACGGATATATGGGAACCTTTATTGTGGTTCTTTTGGTGTGACGAAGCCCTCAAGAGAGCCCGCGCATGCCCCAACAGCGCGGAGACCAAGGACAACCCTTGGAAGGTACCAATTCCCATGACATTTCCAAATCACCTTCTCAAGCAACTCGACAAGAAGAAAGCGACGTTTCACAAAGACTGGAAGAATTTATTGGATATGTGGCGTGACGTCGAGAAACTCCCAGACGGTAAGCACGGCAACAAGTCTGTCAAGAATTTAGAGCTTCTGGATAAAGAAGTTGCTTCTCAGGACCAAAATGGGGCATTCATCGAGGTCTGGTTTGCAAAGAACGCAGCTAGATCACATCTCTAAACAAAGTTCACTGCCGACATCAACTACTGGCTCAGACAACTCCTCCAGGAAGCAAGACCAGTCACCGATAACGAACAAAAGGATGCGATGACAAGATATCCCAAGATAGTATTGGACGTCGAAGAGGAGTACAAAAGGTGCTACGAAAGCGCTCGCCAGAAATATATCACCCTTCCCCAGTACACGAAACCCGAGGAGCTACCAGATGAAATTGGTAAATTCTTTTGGGGTCATCATCACCCCAAAGAATTGAGAGGGATGGCCGAGAAACAGAAGCAGATGGCCGAGACACAAGAGAGTGAACAGGCAGTCGCTCGCCTAGCTAGATATCAGGACCCCCGGAGTCCGTATCAGATTACACCACACCTTCAGGCAGGCATCATCGTTAATGATCCAAAGCCAGATGGAAGACCCCGGTACTACAATCCTGCCAAGGCACCCATTGTGAGGCCATACAATTTTGGATGGTCGGGAAGGGAATACGAGTAAAACCATGCAGCTTTTGAGCACTGGTCCTCCCAACCAACAGGTTCAGCGGCTATTCTGATCACAATTGGTGGGCCGCTGACAAGGTATTCAATCGTGAAAATCGGGACCGACGTTGAAACAAGCGGGGCTTGGGAACAGTGAAGGGGTGTCGAGGTTGGCCTTGCTAGGTCGGCTGGGTTGGAAGACTTTCTTTCTTTTCTTTTATTATTTTGGAATCTGCTGGAAGGAATTTATAATCAAGTTTTTGCAAGCGTGGTATGGCGCACCCGACAATAGAGCAGCGCCCAAGCTGAAGGGTAGTTTTAGATAAGTCTTTTTGGTCGTTTTAGTCGCAATAGGTAAAAAACCCGGAGCTTGTCGGCAAGTTTATTTTTGGAAATATACCTTTCAAAAATCCTACGAGTACTTGGAGTTTAGCTTCCGCATGATAGACATGGCGCTACTTCTATAACTCCCTCCAAAGAGCGCGTAGTGGTTGAGATGATGATACCTGTAGACAAAACATCAGTACTTCTTCCAGTCACCTTTTCCCAAACCGGTACTCACAGCTCATACAACCTCACCCTATCCTCCCACTCACCCACCGGTTCAGCCTTGGGCACCAACTTCTCATACTCCTTCCAAAAAGAATTCCCAAACCCTCCAAACATCCTCATAATCCCCAACTCATACTCACTGTGCCCATAAACACAAGCA